CAATCCTTCTTTAACTTGAGAAATTGCGTCTGCTTTCAAAATGATGCCTAATTCCTAGTTTGTAATAACAGTTTTAAAATTCTGATGTGACAGAAAGATTAGAAAACCTATTAAGATACCTTAATGTCTCTTGTCATGTGTAAGATCTGCCTCCTTATTTCTGGCCTTTGTTATTGTCTTTACACAAAGGATCACTACAAATGTAGTGACTGGAGGTTTGAATGTATTCTTTGGGTTATAAGACTCTCTTTGCAGACTTAACCAATGTTAACAAAATGAATCTCATTTTCAAAAATAAAATGTTTACACGTTTTAAGTGGCTTCCTAGAGTTATCAGTCTTACTAGTCACATATTGAAACTTTTTAAAATAGAATACTCTAATTTAGGACACAATAACATGAGTGGTTTTTTAAATACAAGTGGTTTTCCTTTTTTTGACTTTTTTTTCCTAGGTCAAGATATACATTGAAAAATCAATTGGTTATTGGAAGAGATTCTTTCACAACTAAGAATTTTGTTTTAAGAACATCAGCCCACATGAAGTCATGTGTTTTGAGTAAGTCAATGATTATTTTTATATAAAAATTTGAAAGATAAAACGCTCTGTATCATGAATACTCACCAATTTTTTTACTTTTTCTCAGAAGATCGAGAATTTCTGCTGAGCAGTATGACTACATTGAAAAAGCAAAAATCATAATATTTACATGCCTTTTTCTCTCCTCTCAAAAGACCTTCACTCTTGCCATGTTTATTTAATTAGTAGTACTAAATTTCCAGATAACTCTTTTGCTCACATACCAGTGGCTAATTATTATTTAGCCATCAATACCTTGCCCCCCCAATCTCTGACCAGAGAAATCTCCTCTAAACCCTAGAAAAATATTTAGGGAGAACATCCCAGCTGATTTTCTATGAAAGAAAGAAAAAAAGTTAATAATTTATCTTAATGTGATTTTCATTTGAGAGGAAGATGATTTCCCACTGACCTTACATCTTGATATAAAAATGGAGCACTTCTTATCTTCATTTCAGTATTTATTGGTGGGGAAATTGAAGCCCAGACACACCAAAGAACAGTTAATTTGCCAAAGTTACACTGTAATTGTGGCAAAGCTAGATTCAGAATCCAAGACAGAGCTCAGATACTAATCCTGGGATGTTTTCCAAAAAAATTGTTTTTTCTTCTCTCCTTTTCCATCAAGACCACAAGAGAAATATTCTTATATGTAACAAAATATTAAAACACAACATTCACATAATTACAAAATATTCATATTTTAAAGTTTTCCATGTATGATATGTACATTCTAGATAAATTTTCTCATTACCTACATAAAATTTTGGAAGAGACATAAAATAGCTTAAAAGATAAAAATTATACAAGATAGTAGAATTCATTAATATGACACATAACTCCACCAGTACCAGCCACTGCACACTTTAAAAACAGTCTCTGCTCTGAAGACTAATGTTTTTAAAGTTTCCTGAAAGAATTCAGTGATTAAAATAAAACAGCAAATGGGCCAGATCTCAGGAGAACAAAATCTCCTTAAAGGAAGCTGTGGTTTGCATTTGGGCTCCAATAGGATTAATCTTCAAAATGGCATTTTTGTTAGTTGTCATAATTAATATTCTTGTTAACGTACTGGGAACTCCGTGGGGCATATACCTGTCCTTTAAAATCCCAAATTTTCTAATTCTTTTGCTCTGATCTACATACGGTTTTTTGAAACTGAGTACTTAGGACAGTTGTACTTCTATACATACTGTGAGATGAAACTGGTGTCATAATAAAAATTTTCCATTTTAACAATGATGTATCTGTCTCTATTCAACATCTATGCCCAAACCATTCTAAGTACTATTTATGTCATTGTGGGACACGAGTAGCTTTGGTTTTGTCATCTGCCTTTTGTGTGCCTGTGTTCTCTTTACCATAAGATCTTCTATCTACTAGATCATATTCAGTGCAATACTATCCTAATACAGACTGGCAAAACTTGTCATTATGATGCACAGCTCACATTTCTATTTTTGTTTGACTTTTACTATTAGATTACAACCATCTGTCCAGGGTACAGCATCTGACCATCTGCATCATCATAGAAAAATATTGAAGGTATGTACGTTGCTTTGGAAAATGTTTGGATTTTAAATATGTATCTATTTACTCCTATTAGTACATTGTTCAGAAATATAATAATAAAAATTTTACTCTGGATGCACCAAAAGCATCTATACAGTGTAAGAATAAAACATGCAGTCATCTGGTCCCCCAAAAGAGAATCTACTGTCTGTGTGCCAGCCAAGGCAACACAGAACAGGACTGTATCATTATTGCATGTATTAAAGCAAGTGTTCACCCTTCACTCAAATCCGGGTAATTTCAACTGGTAAGAATTGTGGAATCTGGGAACCTAAAAGACTACTCTATATACAGTGTTTGCTGAACACATGCATTTCTGCTGAAAACAGCAGAGTGCATTCAGCACCTTGTCATGTCATGCACATAGGAACATAGGTGACTGGAAAAGAATAGTGTGATAACTGCACCATAAACAAGCAATTGATACTTTTCCCTCCTTGAGGACAACCTGGGGAGTTCAAAACCATGTTTCTTGCTCATGTATATGAACAATAATATTGTAGGTCAGTTGAGTCAATGGCAGAACACAGCCAATATTTGCACCACTAATGAGCAAAGATATGGATTGCAACATCAGATTGCCCTGCTGTTTTAGTCGTTCTGACACAGCTTTACACCAATGGTTATTTTTTGAAGCATGTGGCTAAAGTTAGACTGACCATTTCTGTATGTAGATTATTTTTACCATTCATCTTACCTTTAAAAGCTTAACCAAGCTTGTCTCATACACCGTTAAATAGAAAAATACCCTGAAATTCAATAAATGTCAGAGGTCCAGAAAAAAGTACCATCCTCACCATGGAAGCAACCTAAGTCTCAGTTTCAAGGCTGATTCCTTATACTGTGAGTGCCAGATTTTCTTGTGCCTGTGGTAAGTCAATGTTGGTTGGTAGGTAGCATAGCATGGAGACATGCTCCCCTGGAAACTTCCATGCTGAGTAATGGAAGTTGTGGGCACAAAGAAGGGGAAATGGAACCCATGGCACATTATATCTGTTCTGAGACTCATGGATTTTAGAGGCACATCTTGTGGGCATGTGAAGAAGCTCTAGTAGAAATTCTAAAATACCAACTGTTTTTATAAATTGCTGTGTTCTGCACTTCTCCAGTCTGATTGCGATAACTTGTCTTTCAGTTCTGGTGGTTTTGTTTGGGGATGCTGGACACAGTTTGAAAAGCTCATAAAAATGGCAACGGTAGGTCAAAAAATCTCCTATGATTTTGCTATCATGTTGGGTATGTTGTTAACATATATGTACAGATGGTCCGATAATGTACAAATTACCGGAGTCTATTTTCAACTTGATGCAAACTTCAACATGCACGCACCAGTTTAAAAGTATGCCTCTTTGATCAACTGCACAAAATATACTTTGGTCAAAAGAAAGAAATTTTTCTGGGTTCTTACAAATGAACATGTATTTTATTCTCAATACGTACCATTTAAGGGACTAGCTACACACAAGTGTTTGTTACTTTTTTTTTTTTTTTTAGTTGATTATAGGCACTTTCTAAGAAGAGGATTTAGGACTCAAAAGACTCTGAAATTCAGTCTTTAGTACCCTCCTTTCATAAATGGATCTGCCTGAGCCACAGTAGTCTAGTGTAGCAATTCAGCAGAAGTTCTACAGCAGAACTGTGTGCAAAAAAGCTTTAGAAAATTGTAACCAGAATAAAATTATAGAAAAGCAGTTATCTGAACTGAGCAACTTAACATCTATCTACTTCTTAGGTTTTTTCCTAACCATGTTTGATGCGTTATCCCTATAAACATTGCTAAGAATCATGTGTGAATGGTTCTATACCTGTGTTTCACCCTAAGTTACAGATATGCTACAAAAACTATCTGTTTACATTCATTTTTATTTATATCATTATAGTTAAGATTTTGATACGATTACTCAAATGTGTTTTGTTTCTTTGCCAAGAGCCTTTCAACCTCACCTTTGAACAAGTTTTAGAAACACAAATTTAGAACATTAATCACATCTGGAAAACCAGCATCTCTAATGTGAATTGTTAAAAGGCCCTTTTACCCTGTGGTGCAGTTTTTCTATAATAATATACACTATATTAATAGTTCCATATTTATGGGGTTGATAAAATCAGCTAAGATGGCAGCTGTTCTCCAAGACGGAGGGAGTAGAGATTTCCTTACATAAGAGTAAATGATTACTATCTAAGTACAGTGTTAAAAAAGGAGAGGTATAGTTGAGCAAAAATGCAATTCATGCACAAAACTCATAGCAATACGTTCCCAATATCCCACACTGCTATCTGATTTAGGCAACAAAACAGTCATTTAGATGGCGCAAACACTGCCTGTTGGGGAAAATAACCTAACACTAAGTTACAGAAAAATATCCTATGAAAAGAGATTATAAAATGGTACCAACAGTCTAAAAGGTTGAACCCTCCCTTGGCATTAATCTCTAATTTTAACTTAACAGAATAGTGAGAAAATGACAGCTCAATATACTCAGCCTGAGATCAAATTTGTCATGGCAACATTGGCAGGTTGGACCCTGATTCTTCAAATGTTACATTGCCTTGGTTAACAAAAATCATACTTTTTTTGTATTAGAATAGAGATTATAAATAAATGTAAAGTGTGCATGCAGTCAACTGCATAATATACAAGCAATATCTATGTTTTAAATAATCATCTTCTTTGGCAGGCCAGAATCCAGCTGGACATGCAGTATTTACATATCAAAATCCATATTGTGTTCATCATATTGAAAGCAAGTGAAAATATATAGATGTATATACGGTATATACACACATATGTATATAGATGTATATACTGTTTTTAATATATTAACAAATATATATGTGTAGATATATATATTAAAAGTGGATTTCATCTTTGTCAGATTCAGGTGACTCAGGCCTTGAAACACTAAAAATATCCTGACATGGTATCTGGGGAGGTACTTGGAGTGGCATTTGGGATTTGGGAGAAGAGGTCTGGGGCACGCTTTTTTCGGAGAGTATTTTTAAAATTTCTGCCACCTGCTTTTCCAGGGCAGTCATTCTGCAGCTTAGCAGCTGAATGTCCTCTTTGAGTTCATGCTTGACTTCCTGCAGTGTGGTTTGTAAGGCCTGCTCTGGGATGGGATAAAAGGGGTGCTTGGCGTCAGCCTGAATCGGGCTGTGCTCCAGCGGACTTCGGGCCTCTCCGGCCTTATCCAGACGAAGGTCACTTTTTGTAATCCCACTGTCACAAGAATCTGTTTTCCTTAATGGGTTTTTGGTAACGCTGTTCTCCGAATCGCTGCCCTTGGGGTCCTCTGACAGTAGCCCCATGGACTCAGCTTTTGTGACATTATTCCAGTCTTCCTTTTTCTCCTCATGCGCCCCCATGTTATTCTTGAGTCGCAGCCATCCCCTCCCATTTCCGTTCTTCATCCTGATCGGGCTGTTGACTTTGAGGCATTTGGGGTCAGCACCGCCACTGGGCTTGAGTTCCATGGCCTCACGGTTGTTTTGCTTGAGGGACTCGCTGGTTTTCACGTAAGCCAGAGACGTCTGAATGGGCGTGATCTGTGACACAGTGACCACACTGGTGCCCGTGATGGAGGCCCCATTCTGTAAGGAGCGGCTTTCTACCTGAACCTGGTTCCGCTCGGGGTCACTCTGGGTGGACCCCTGATTCCGCAGCTCCTTCTGCTGCTTGAACTTCTGGAAGAGCTTTCGGACTGGGTGGTCCACGGGGATGCTGAGGGTGACCTCGTTCTTCTGCCTGAGGCGCTCCTCTTCCTCTTTCTTCACGTCACTGATTTTTCGGAAAATGATCTGTGGAGGGGGAGAGATGTTCAGAACGTGATTACAAACATAGATGGACTGCTAATCATGTGACAGGATGCTGGATAAACTTTGTTTCGCTGAGGAAACCCTCAAACGCAGGGTAAGATCACTTCGGAAGGGAAAAAATACCTCAGTGCCACTCAACGGACGCAGTATACTGAGAACTCACCATGAGCACTAACTTAGCTTATGTCATCCTACTCTCTTGCATACAGGAGGGGGAATGTAATGGAGAGAGAGCTGAAGAGAGGTACTTGCTTTCTAGTTTATGTTCTAGTTTAATAGAAAACATATAAATGCATACGTTAGTACATATGTGTATGCATATTTGTGTAAGGAAATACATTAAATTTCCTTGCATCGCTATTTCTTGTATGTTTTCCTTTTATATACCAATATATTCAGTACCATTTTTAATAACATCCCCTGCTTAGCGGTTAAATTATGAGTTCCAGGCTATAAAAATACCAAAATATTAGACGGTTTACTAACATAGCACCTGTGATGGGTGGGGGGAGGGATTACATTTATTTAGGTGTACAGAACTAGGATCTGTAAGTAAAAGTTCCTGAGAGGTAAATACCAGCTCAAAATATACTTCATTTTAAGCTGCTATCTATTTATTGAATAAAGAACCTTGAAAACTGATGAACTTCACACCACTAAAATATCCCAATAGAAGTAAGTGTGTTGTCCATGTAATACTATCATGGGGTGGGAGACTGGACTCTTCAAATTTCAATATTCCTTAAAATTGTTTTTTTACTGTTAGTATTCATTTTTCGCTCAATGCTATTCCAACCTACTTACAGGTTCTTCTTATCTTTTGAAATATTATAAACAATTTCAGCGTAAAGTGTTTCTCCCTTTCAGATTTCAGTATTGTTAATAGTTTTCTGTGCATATTTCCAGAAGTTTTTTTCATTAAGTTTTTTACTTCCAGAATTAACATACAATGTTCTGTTCAACATAGTGATTCAACACACTGTACATTACCCAGCGTCCATCTCAACAAGTACACTCCTTAATCCCCATCACCTGTTTCCCTCATTCCCCACCTACCTCTCCTCTGACAACCATGAGTTTGTCCTCTATAGTTAAGAGTCTGTTTCCGGGTTTCTCTCTCTCTCTCTTTCTTTTCCCTTTGCTCATTTGTTTTGTTTTTTAAATTCCACATATGAATGAAATCATATGGTATTTGTCTTCCAGACTCTTTCTATGAAGCCAGCATTACCTTGATCCCTAAACCAGGCAAAGACCCCATCAAAAAGGAGAATTTCAGACCAAAATCCCTGATGAATATGGATACCAAGATTCTCAACAAGATCCTAGCTAACAGGATCCAACAGTACATTAAAAAGATTATCCACCATGACCAAGTGGGATTTATCCATGGGATGAAAGGGTGGTTCAACATTCGCAAATCAATCAATGTGATAGAACAAATCAATGAGAGAATAACAACATGGTCCTCTCAAATGATGCAGAAAAAGCATCTGTTCCTGATTAAAACTCTTCATAGTATAGGGATAGAGGGAACATTCCTCATCTTCATAAAATTTAAGAAAAACCCAAAGCGAATATCATTCTCATGGGGAAAAACTGACAGCCTTCCCACTGAGATCAGGAACACAACAAGGATGCCCACTCTTGTCACTGTTGTTCAACATAGTATTGAAAGTCCTAGCAACAGCTATCAGAAAACACAAAGAAATAAAAGGTATTCAAATTAGCAAAGAAGAAGTCAAACTCTTCTCTTTGTAGATGACATACTTTAATATGAAAAACCCAAAATCTCTACCCCCAAATTACTAGAACTCATACAGCAATTCAGTAATGTGGCAGGATACAAAATCAGTGCACAGAAATCAGTTGCTTTCTTATACATTAATAATGAAAATATAGAAAGGGAAATTAGAGAATTGATTCTATTCACTATAGCACCAAGAACCGTAAGATACCTTGAAATAAACCTAACCAAAGAGGTAAAGAATCTGTACTTGAGGAACTACAGAACACTCATGAAAGAAATTGAAGAAGATATAAAAAGATGGAAAAGCATTCCATGCTCATGGATCAGAAGAATAAACATTGTTAAAATGTCTATACTGCCAATCTGTACTTTCAGTGCCATCCCGATCAAAATTCCACTGGCATTTTTCAAAGTACTGGAACAAACAACTCTAAAATTTGTATGGAATCAGAAAAAACCCTAAATCACAAAGGAAATGTTGAAAAAGAATAACAAAGCTGGGGCTTCACGTTATGTTCCATAAAGAACTCCTCAAGCTCAACACACACAAAACAGATAATCACATCAAAAAATGGGCAGAAGACATGAAAAGATGCTTCTCCAAAGAAGACATACAGATGGCTAACAGACACATGAAAAAATGTTCATCATCATTACCCATCAACGAAATTCAAATCAAAACCACACTGTGATACCACCTTATACCAGGTAGAATGGCCAAAATTAACAGGACAGGAAACAACAAGTGTTAGAGAGGATGTGGAGAAAGGGGAATCCTCTTACACTATTGGTGGGAATGTAAGTTGGGGCAGCCACTTTGGAAAACAGTGTGGAGATTCCTTAAGAAATTAAAAATAGAGCTACCCTTTGACCCTGCAATTGCATCACTGGGTATCTACCCCAAAGATACAGATGTAGTGAAAAGAAGGGCCATCTGTACCCCAATGGTCATAGCAGCAATGGCCACCAAACTGTGGAAAGAGCCAAGATGCCCTTCAACAGATGAATGGGTAAAGAAGATATGGTCCATATATACAATGGAATATTACTCAGCCATCAAAAATGATGAATACCCAACTTTTGTATCAACATGGACAGGACTGGAGGAGATTATGCTGAGTGAAATAAGTCAAGCAGAGAAAGTCAATTATGATATGGTTTCACTCATTTGTGGAGCATAAGGAGTAACATGGAGGACATTAGGAAAAGGAAAGGAAAAGTGAATTAGGGTAAATCAGAGTGGGAGATGAAGCATGAGAGACTGTGGACTCTGAGAAACAAACGGGGTTTTGGAGGGGAGAGGGATGGGGGCGGTGAGCCTGGTGGTGGGTATTAAGCAGGGCACATATTGCATGAACAATGGGTGTGGTGCATGGACAATGAATCTTGGAACACTGAAAAATTAAAATTTCAAAAAAAGATACGGTATTTGTCTTTCTCTGACCAACCTATTTCACTTAACATTATATTTTGTAGCTCCATCCATATTGCTGCAAATGGCAACATACTCTTTGTTATGACTGAATAATATTTCATTGTATATGTATAACAGTCTTTATCCATTCGTCTATCAGTAGACACTAGGGTTGCTTCCATAATTTGGCCATTGAAAATAATGCTACAATAATGAGGGTGAACGTATTACTTGAATTAGTTTTTGTTTTCTATTTTGAGGGTAAACTTTAACTATAGAATTAAATACATATTGCATGGGCTGTTAGATGGGTAACCACAAGTAAGTATACATAAATTTCATTTAAAATGTCTTTTGAACACCAAAGGCAAAATGTTGTAATACAAATTCAAAATATAGAGAAGAATCAAGCCAGATGGTCTATCATCCAATTGATAGGAGTTTCTAGCTTTTTCTACATAGGACTCAGTACCTTCTGATTACATAATTTACTTCTAAAAAAATTTTAAAAATAAATAAATAAAACATCTTTTGAAAATAATACTGGGAAGGACTTATAACTCCATCAAGAGAAGTAAAACTCTTCACCATGTAAGAAATTACCACTCATATTATCAAAGTTAGAAGTGAATTTAATGAATGTGAGATTTTTGCTCAGTCTCCTTCTGAAGAACAAAATAACTGCAGGTGGGCTAGCAGGAAAATTCAGAAGGGAGTTATATTACAGTGCTCTTAGAATCACAATTTTCTGAGGCTGGCAAAATTACTTCATCACCCTCTCTCATTAATTTATTGGTTAGATTGGAGATATATGGCAAGTACATAGCATGTAAGAGACACTCAAAATATGTTGGTTCTCTCCATTGAACTCTCATAAAATACTTTCTATTTGAAACCATTTCCAGCACCTCTTGAGGATTCAATAGCTTCCAGAGGAACATTACAAACATCAGTTTATACTAGAAACCAATACTAGTGATGGTCACTTAACAGAAAAGTCAGGGAGATAGCAATCCTCTAAGAGCACTCTTTCTAAATTGAGACTGATGCACTAAACACAGCTTATCAAGTGGTAATGATATGTATTTTAAAATAAATATTCTCTAAATTCAATAACTGTCTGTAAAGACCAGCATATTTTTCCCTCTCTAGTGGCACATGAAATTGGATCTTTTTTTTTTTTTTTTTTTTTTTTTTGGTAAGGATTTTACTTACCTATTTGACAGAGAGAGAGAACAGGCACAAGCAGGGGGAGTGGGAGGGTGAGAAGCAGGCTCCCCACTAAGCAGGGAGCCCAACATGGGGCTCTATCCCAGGACCCTGGGATCATAACTTGAGCTGAAGGCAGATGCTTAACTGACTGAGCCACCCAGGCATCCCACAATTGGAGCTTTTAAATGATGTAAAACTTATCTGACAGTCTGACATCAAAGTTCCAGCATGATTTTTCAAAGGGTTGACATGTTTCTCATGCTTCCTAAGTCAACAGAGCTTATGCTGAGCCTTCACAATATTAGATTCAAACATGGACACAGACACCATATTCCTTTTCCATCCCTCTTCATTGAAAAGGTACTCAATTTGGTTTTAGAAACTGACATGAGGGGACAAATGACTGGCCACATCCTCCTTCCCACTCAACTCTGACCGTTTTGTTTTTTTAAAGGTAGCTCCTTAGCCTTGGATATATACAGCCTTAGTGTGATGTAGTAACTGAGAGTTGCCTTTACATTTACGATAAAAGGATCTGTTTCAATGCTACTGGTATATAATAGACAAAAATATTACTATCTCTGTAGTATCCATGTGTACTGCTGTGTG